GAAGGTTAACACTTGTTCCTAAATCTAAAAGAGCCCGATTAATGTCATGGTCACCAATGATGCAAGAAGTAGTAGGTAAACCGGGGTCTTTAAATTTTGGGAGCGTGTTGTGTTGCAAAAGCTCATTTGCTCAGACAAGTCCACTTTCTTTGGTGCTTGGCTTTTATTCTTCCTCTTTTGGGTGCAAAGATCTTTCAAGAACTTGGCATAAGCTGAAATTTGTTTGATTGCATCTAAAAGTGGAAGATTAATCTTCACTTGCCTAAACACTTCAATTATTTCATTCACTTTGGTTTTTTGCTTTTCAAAAGAAATGGATCATTTCAAGACATCCGGAAATGGAGCCTTTGGCTCAAAAACCTTTTCAAAATCATTTGTCATAACATTTTCAACACACGAATTCTTCAAACCACTGTTTAAATTATTTTTCAAATCATTTTTAACCATTTTCTCAACAAGATGATCATGCACATGCAATGAAGGATGAATAGAATATGAAACGGGACGAGTGTCAACTTTTGGTTGCACCGGTTCACTCTCTTCATTTTGGACACCAACTTGGTTGTCAACAATTTTTCCACCCCTCAAGGTTGTCACAGCATTAATATGTTCAATTGTGTAACCTTATTGGTTTCTACAACAAATTGTTGCTTTGGTGGGGCATTTAGAGACATCTTCCTTTTCTCTCTAGCATTTAAAGTACTAGCTATTTGCCCAACTTGGGTTTCTAGCTTAGCAATGGATTGAGAATGGGAATGAAGCAATTGAGTGTTTGCCTCTAGAGTACCCAAAGCGGTCAACACTTTCTACTCAAAAGCGGGACTCATAAAATTTCCTTGAGAATAAGATGATTGATTAGGAAAATGAGAATTAGAAAATTGGTTTCCATGTGATGATTGAAACGAAGATTTATAACCTTGGGAACCTTGGCTTTGCATTGGAGGTGGAACATACTTTCCTTGAAAACCACCTTGGGGAGGGTTTGAGCCTTCCCCTTGGCTTTTCCAAGAGAAGTTTAGATAGTTCCTCCACCCGGGATTATAGTGTGAGCCATAGGGATTATTCCTTTGATTGACAAATGCAGCATTAACTTGTTCATGATGCTCACTTTACGCATGTCCATGGGGACAATTGGAAGTAGAATGTAAGACATTAGAACAAGTCATACAAGATTCATTAGATGAATGATGAACATGATTAGGGGAGGAAGACACTTGATTTGACGAATTGTGGTTGACCAAAAATTGATCAAACCTTTGAGTTAAGGATTTCACCTCGGCGGCTATGTCATTGGAATTGTCAACTTGATATAAGCCGACATTCTTCCTTCCACCTAGAATTCTACCATTTTTAGAGGACAAAGATCTATGCAAGGAATTTTCACTCATACTTTCATACAATTGCCAAACATCATTTTCATGTTTATCAAGGTAAAAACCACCCATAGATGCATCTACCATTTCTTTTTTATTATCCGGCAAACTTTCAAAAAAGTATTGGACTAATTGCCACTTAGGAATGTTATGATGTGGACACTTCCTAAGCAAATCATTAAATCTTTCCCATACCTCATAAAATAATTCCCCTTCCCCTTAAGAAAATTCATGAATAAAAGTTCTCATAGCATTGGTCTTTGATACCAGGTAGTACTTTTTCAAGAATTCTTGTTGCATTTCTGCCCAAGAAGTTATCGAAAAAGGCCTAAGATTGTTGAACCAATATTTTGCTTTGTCTTTAAGGGTAAAAGGAAAAAGTTTGAGTCTTAACACGTCTTCCAGCATGTCCGTGTATTTCACGGTGGAACACACTTCAAGAAATTCATCTAAATGCTTGTACGGTTCTTCACTTGGAAGTCCAAAATAGTTAGGAAGCATTTGAATAGTTTGCGGTTTAATCTTATAGTTATGTGTTCTAAATGGGGGCAATTGAATGCATATAGGTAGATTGTATTCATTTGAAACATAATGATCACGCAAAGTAATAGGAGGATTCATAACCGGTGGTGCTAAACAAACACCGTGATTAACTTGAACCATGGGAGGTTGTGGAGCAAAAATTGGCCGAGGCATTCCCAATGGAATTTGGCCTTGTTGTTATGGTGGAATGAATGGTCTAGGCATGCCTAATGATAGTTGAATGTTGTTATGATACACGCCTTGTTGGTCTATGTGACCAAAGTCCTCTACATGGTCGTCATGTTGCTCGTCCATTGATGAAATGGAGTGATGAGAACTACCTCTTCCACTATAATTACAAACAACTGATTCAAGATGGAAATCAAGTGGGACAAAGGTAGGATTTAATGACCTACGACCATGCATGCAATAACAAAACAAATAACATGTAATCAATCAAATAGCAATCACTTCGCCCCCACAACAAATCAATCAACGAACATCATCCACATACATTGATCCCATACTCCCATGCTTTCAACAATATGCAAGGAAAATTAAATTGCCGCCACGCGGGCTCACGATCTATCAAAGAAATGAAAAACTTGCCACTATGCGGGCTGACAATTTAACTAGAGATTGAGTTAGAACGATCTCGCAAAGGGTTCTTAAGCAACTTCAATTCATTTTACAATTTTTGCTTAGCTTGCAATTTTTAGATTTTATCCTTTTTATGCTTAGCTTAGCTCTTTGCTTTTCAATTCTCCTTTGCTTGACTTCTTTGCTCAATTCACCTAACTAATCAAGAACAAACACAATACGTAACTAAAGTAAAATAAAGTAAAAACATGATCAAAAGAGTACTAATTCCTAATTGTTTCCAAAACACGGCGTTGCTAAATCAATCCACGGCAACGGCGCCAGAACTTGGTGTGGTGTCGTGTCGATCCACCAAATTGCAATGAAAAGTGTGGCCAAGTTTAAATTTATAAAGTGCCACTACTACCTCTAACTACTAATATAATTGTGGTGAGTAGGGATCATCCTAATGGATTAGGGGCAATGTTAATATGGAAACAAGGTTGGATTAGTAGGTAGAGTGATAAAAATGTGTTTTGATTGGTTAATTAAACTACAATGTAAATAAATTCAACACAAGGCAATTAAAACAAATAAAGGGGTAGAGAACAAGAGTGAAAGGTCTTGGGAACTAGAGGTCACCACTAAACATTACCATTCTAGACACTCAATGTTGTAGTCATCCAACCCTCAAGGGCCATCTCCATGATAGGAATGATCTTCTTCTTGATGGAAACCCTAGATGAATGGAAGAACTCCCAAATAGTGTATGTCTCTCTAATCTCTAGCCTCATCTCCAAGATAGTATATAATATCTATGGTGTTCTATGAGATATGATGTAAAAATGGCTCAAAATCCTTATATAGGTAGCTCAAGTGTCACACCCAATGGTCAGGTCTAGTGCACTAGGGTCCTTTCAATGATTGCACTGTGAGCCATCTTTTAATGAGCTTGACTCTGTTTTATTTCGGACTTGAGGAGGTTCGATCGATCGAATTCAGATGAGATCAATCGAACTCTAGCCAGATCAATCGAAGTAAGGCCAGATCGATCAATCCTTAGCGGTGCCTTTTTAGAATAAAACAAATCCAAGATATTTTGGGAAAAAGACAAAAGTGGTAGGTGGGGATAAGATCAAGGAAGTACAATCAATCTGAATAAAGTTGGATCGATTGAAGATGGAAATTCTTGAGGATAAGGACAAGGGGTTTGATCCATCATGGTGAGGCTGGATCGATCACTGTGAGATCAATTGAAAATATGTCTGATCGATCGAAACTTGCTGTTTTCCACCACTTTGCTTCCACTTTGCTTCTTCTATTTAGCTTGAGATTGCTTCTTTTATGCTCTAATTTCGCTCAATTAACTTATTTTGGGGATAAGCATCTTAAAAGGGTAATAATATGAAATTAATCTAAAACGGGAAAATAAGATAGATAAAGGTCCTAGAATACTCGAGCTTAAGGGGTTTAAATACGCACTTTTCAGCGCTCATCAACAAGCATTACAAGTTTTTCTCTAAATTATTCTTGTTAATTGTTCTTTTATTTTGAGTGAGTTATATCTATTCTTTTGACTTTTTAGTTAAATAAATTATTTGCACCTATACTTTCGTGCCGTCTGTGGGAATCATGTAAAAATATATTCCGACGAGTGAATTAAAATCTTTTATACTTTTACGATCTGGGATGTCAATCGGAGGAGCCGCAGCCGCAGTCGATCAACAGATGGAACTAATGCAAAAGATGCGAGAAGAGTTCTTGCAACAGTTCGAGACCCTTCATTAAGAAAATGAGGCTAGTACGGCTCAGATTGCATTGCTCGAGTAGAAAAACGATGCTCTCCAGACAGCCATGGCACAGATAGCACCACAGCCACCACCAGGCAATGTAGCAGGCACTCCCCCCAACCACAATATTCCTCCTGTTGACAAAGCTCAAGCTAACGAGATTTGGCAAGAGCAGAGGACGAGAATCAAGGCAGTAGCTTCGGACAACCACCCTCATCGCGTACAAGATGAACAGGCCAAATCCAGCCGCAAACTCACAGTGTGGATAAATGGCGTTCAGGATGGTATACATGAGATCTTTGATGAGAGGAAGCTCCTTAGGATTCAGACGCCAGTCGAGATGGCCAGGGAGCATAAGGCCTCTTTGGTGAAGACTCCATTCACTGATCAGATATACCACGTCGACAAACCTAAAAAATTCACCATGCCAGCTTTCACTTAGTTCGATGGCACAAGAGATCCCTCCTGTCACCTCAATCACTACTCTCAAAAAATGGCTTTGGATAACCACAACGACGCATTCATGTGCAAAGTTTTCCTAACTAGTCTGACGGGAGCTGCACTAGAATGGTTCGAGAATAGGCCACATAAGTCCATCCTAAACTATGAAACTTTGTGCACCATGTTCCTAGCACAGTACTGCGGTAACAGGAAGTAGAAAAAGACTATCGCTAGTCTATTCACTATAAGACAGAAGAGAGGTGAAACATTACAGGATTTCATGTCTAGGTACAACATGGAGGCCTCGGAGATAGCAGATTGTCACCCTGAGACTGCTGTAGAAGCATTTAAGATCAGCATGATCCAGGGGACTAAATTTCATACCTCTTTAGTCAAATACTCCCATCCTGATATGCAAACTCTTAATGCTAGGGCACAAGTTTACATTCGGCTTGAATAGAATGTAGCTCATCGAGCACAACATGCCACCCTCATCACGGTAGAAAATATGCCTCGAGAAAAAGCTTCGAGTTCGAAAAGTCAAAGAAATTAGTATGCCTCAGCACCAGTTGCTCAGCTACCTGAGAAAAGACAGAAGACTGAGGAGAGAATAATACCTCTTCGTACCATATTGGCTTGATTATTCCAGGAGAACAAAGTAAGGTTTGCAGTCCCTCAGCCAATGCAGCAACCCTTGAAGCAGAGGGACAAAAGCAAACACTGCACATACCACAGGGATTATAAGCATACAACCAATGACTGTAGATCCCTTCGGCGACAGATAGAAAACATGATAGCTAAAGGAGACCTAGCATATTATCTCAGGCCAAAAGAGCATACAAGGCCGAGGGAAGTTAATCCTCGGAAGGTAAAAGGTAATCAAGTGAAGGTCATTCATGCAATCCATGAGAAATCAGAGGAGGACCAAGAGTTAGAAGAGGTGTACCACTCTAGACTGAGGGTTGTCCATAAGCTACGAAAGTTATCCTTAGTAAATACGATCACTTCGGGCAGTATCAGTATCAGATTCGGAAATGGAGACTTATCCAAAGTGCAGCTTCCCCATGATAATTCACTCGTTATTAGTCTTCTGGTAGCAAACTGGATGATTAAAAGAGTCCTGATAGACCCTGGCAGCAGTACTAATATTATAACTAAGGCATCCTTTGAGCAGTTAGAGATCCCATCGTCGTCAATTCGAGCTACATCTAGTCCCTTGATGGGGTTCGATGGAACGAGAGTGAACCCTATTGGGGTAATCGATTTATCAGTCACTGCTGCAAAAAGGATACTGAAAGAAAACTTTATTTTGACATAAATTCATCCCTCCTACAATCTCATCTTGGGAAGAGGTTGGATTCACCGAATGAATGGAGTGTTGTCTATTCTACATCAGGTGATGCGATACTTATCTCCAGATGGAAAAGAAGTCATTAACCTATAGGGAGATCAGGTTGCTGCAAAAGAGTGTTACATGTTGACACTGAAGGAAGTAAAGAAAGGAGTAAAGGTATCCAAATCAGATGCAACCCTTGAGGGTGTTGCTAATTAACAATTATAGAGCCTTCTGCCTAAGTATTCAGAAGTGGAAAAGCCCACCGAGGAATCTCTTGAAGCTGTAGAAGTTATCATTAAAAACTCACATAAAATCACTTATATAGGTTCTTCCTCCTCAGCCGAAAAGAGGAATGTGTTAATTGATGTCATCCAAAGAAATGTAGATACGTTCGCCTGGATCCATTCAGATATGCCAGGGATCAACCCTTCAGTATCATGCAATAACCTAAAAGTGGATCCTTCATACAGACCAATCAAACGAAAACATAGGAGGTTCACTCTAGAGAGAAACCGAATCATTACTGAAGAAATAAACAAGTTGCTTCAAGTAGGCTTCATCAGGGAAATGTATTATCCACAGTGGCTTTCGAATGTAGTTGTGGTTCAGAAGAAAAATGGCAAGTGGAGGGTATGTATAGATTTCACCAATCTAAACAAAGCTTGTCCCAAAGATAGCTTTCCGCTACCAAAAATAGATCAAATGGTGGATGCTACCACAGGCTATGAGAGACTAACATTCCTTGATGCATACTCAGGATACAATCAAATTCCCATGAATCCAGAGGATGAAAAAAAAACATCCTTCATCAGAGAGAAGGGAACTTATTATTACAAAGTTATGCCTTTCGCACTTAAGAATGCCGGGGCAACTTACCAACGCCTTGTCAACAAGATCTTCGATAAGATGCTGGGCAAGAAAGTTGAGGCTTATATCAATGACATAGTGGTCAAAAGTGAGAGGAAGGAAGATCACCCTAAGCACCTTCAAGAAGTCTTTAACACTCTAAAAAAATATAAAATGAGGTTGAATCCCTCAAAATGCTCATTTACAGTTTTTTCAAGACAATTCCTCGGCCACATTGTCAACAAAAAAGGGATAGAGGTAAGCCCGGCTCAGGCCCAAGCCCTTGTACAGAATCAGGAGCCGAAAACTCGCAGAGAAGTGCAGATTCTAACTGGCAGAATAGCAACTCCCAGTCGCTTCATATCTCGATTGTCTGATAAGTGCAAACCTTTCTTTGATGTTATACGCTCAAAGAACAGAGATATATGGGGACTTCAATAGCAAGAAGATCTTTCTAGACTAAAGTATTACTTGACTAAACCCCTTATTTTGTGTGCCCTAAAGCCTAAAGAAGTCCTCGTCATGTATTTAGCAATTTTCGACATAGCCACAAGTGCAATTCTGATCCGAGAAGAAGAAGGGAACTAGTATCCAGTCTGCTACACAAGTAAGACAATGACTGATGCCGAAACAAGATATAGCAAGGCAGAGAATATCATACTAGCCTTAGTATATGCAAAGAGAAAGCTTCAGCACTACTTCGAATCTCACCGCATAGTAGTTCTCACAAATTATCCCATGCGAGCAATCCTCTCTAAACCAGATTTGTTAGGAAGAATTACAAAATGGTCGATCGAGCTTAGTTCTTTTGATATAGCCTACGAGTCGAAGGTGTTACACAAAGGACAAGCCATGGACGATTTCCTTCTAGAGTATGAAAACAAGCCTAAAGAGCTAGAACTCCCAGAACCACAGTGGAAACTCCATGTTGATGATTCCTCAAACTTAGCTAGTGCAAGGGCAGGGATCACCATTACAACTCCAGAAGGAACGAAGTTGTAGCAGTCAATCCATTTGGATTTTCCCGCCACCAACAATGAAACCCAGTATGAAGCCCTGTTAGCTGGGCTTCGACTGGCAAACCAACTCCAGGTAAAGTGTCTAAAGGTTTTTAGTGACTCACAACTCATTATAAATCAAGTAACAGGAAAGTATCAACCAAAGGAAGATAGAATGAAGTCGTATAAGGAAGCTATCGAAAGTGCTATGCGTGGATTCGATCAAATCAAATTTCACCAAGTACCAAGAGAAAAGAATTCTAAAGTAGATAGACTAGCTGCAATGGCTTCTTCCTCGGACGAGGATTTGATCCGAATCGTGCCTATTGACACCGCGGAAGAGCCCAGTTTAGGTCCTCAACTGCCAGTAATGGTAATTCCAAAGATTCCAATAGAGTCGAGCTGGATGGATCCACTGGAAAGCTATCTCAAAAACGGAATCCTTCCAGATTAGAAGGATGAAGCCAGGAAAATAAGGTTTGCGGCCTCCAAATACTCCATCATTAATAACCAATTATGCCAAAAGTCATTCTCAGGCCCGTATTTGAAATATTTAACTCCCACGGAGTCACTCAAGGTATTAAAGCAGGTACATGATGGGGATTGCGGCAACCACTACGGCGGAAGATCCTTCGCCCATAAAGTTTAACTCAAGGGTATTTCTGGCCATACTTGGCTAGAAACGCTGAGGAATATGCCCGGAGGTATGATAAATATAATACCCCTAATTTTAAAAAGGACTTAATTGGAATTTAATTATTCTATTTTAGGTGCTTATTTGTCTATGTGTTTGTAACGACCCAATTATTTGCCTTCCTTTCCTTTTTCCTGAAATTTTACGAATGAAATTTTTTCGTTTAATTGTCCTTTCTAAACTCTGTTTCTTATCACTTAGTATCGTCTCGAGTGCTTGGAAATGATTTCTGAGACTCTTTTTCGTAGATTGACAACTTTCTTTGAGGACCGAGTCATTTTTGCACTTTCACTTTTCGGACACTATACGCTATTTCGTCTTTTCCCTATTCTGTCTTATCTCCGTTTGTCAGTTTTTGGCATAACCTCACTTTTCATGCTCGGAGTTAGTTTTTGACTTCACGTGTCTTCATCTTCAGTGGTTTCCTCGAAATACGTATCTTTACTTTTGCAAGAAAGTACTTTGGTTGCTCCCGGTGTCTATAGGGGCATAGATGCACAATTCTTTATAGTCTTTTTCATTTCTTGGGGTGTTTTTCGTAAATATCTTTTGAAGATATTTTATTTTAGGGGCATTTAAGAAAATATCTTTTGGAAGATATTTTCATTCTGGGGCAGTTTCACAGTTAACCCTTTTTGTAGGGGCCATTGTGCAATTAACGAAAGTTATCGCAAATGTCTCGTCTGGAGTCTGGATCCTCGTACGGGATTCATTTTCACATTTCATCGAGTCATGGACTCTTAAAATTTCCTTCTGGTCGTTTTCCCCAATTTTAGGGATTTTTTGCCCCGGTTGCCGCCGAACTTGTTTGGGGTATATCTCTCTGCACGGGACTCATTTTTTGATTCCATTTCTTCCGTTGTTCATATTTTCTCATTTTGAATCTTTTTTGTTCACGGGGTTTTGCCGTTTGAGCGCTTTTGCTCAAAATCCACTTTTCCAGACCCGGCGAAGCCCTTTCGGGGCAGTTTTTGAGACTTACTATAAATAGAACACTTAAAGAAGAAAAATCAGATTTTGATCATCTTCCCCACCTTTCTTAGCCGAATCTCCTAACAGCCATGGCTGCCACATTCTCTCTCCTCCTTTAGTCCACTTTTCCTTGGTAGAAATCCTTCGGCCTTAGCACTTATTGCTTCCCTCGACGTGCTCTACCCTTTACCCTTATTAGAATCCATTTTCGACGATTTTTTGAGTTCGAGTTTGGAGTCAAGTTGAGATTTTCATGGGGCTTCTTGCGGATTCTTGTTCACGGTATTGTCCCCGACAAAACCTCTCGGTATCGTCAAATTTGGAGCACTTTTATTTTGGTGGGCCTTTGAGATTTCATCTCAAACTGAGGTAGGGGATGTTCTAGGTTTAAATTCTTGTTATATAGCATGCTTGTGATGCTTATACAACTTGTTGGCATGATTAAATATAAAACCTAGAGATTTTATTATTTATTTTTCTGTTACGGGATCTAATTTTCCCGGTTGCTCATGACTTGGTTTGAACATGTAGCATGATTTTATATTGCTCCTTGATATGCTCATTGTCGTGTATTAAAATTGGAACATTTGAATAAGTATTAAAGATTTTATTTAATATTTATCTTAGGTGAAAGATTAATTCACATGGCCTTAACTAGCTTGAAATTAATATGTGTTAGCATAGTATATTAGGCCTTAGCATGCTCTTCAACATAGTTGAATTTGAAACTAATTGGAGGTGTTTTGAAAGTTAGTAATTATTAATTAATTTGATTAATTAATTTGCCCCGAGTGTACTATTCACTCTATTTAAATTACGACTTGATATTCTTGACTTATATGCCATATAGCTTCACATATATTTGATTTAGAATATTCGGTTAGGTTTTCAAACCATTTATTTAATTAAATTCCTTATTTAAGATTTAATCCTCATGGTGATATACAACTTGGAATTGAATTGTGGCATGCTAGAAAATTAAGCTTAGGTATAGTTGTTTACATATATTAAATTGGGATTAATTGCATGAGAATTGTAACTTCTAATTTATATTTAACTTTAGTGAAAGTTTAATTCACATGGTCGTAAATTGAATGAAATAAACTTGTAATGTGATATTACATTAGTCCTTGGCATGTTCTCTAAGATATGTTAAATTGAGAGCATTTGGTTAAGTTTGAAAATCTAGAGATTTTAATTAAAAAAATTAATTAAAATCTATTTCGTGGTCCCATTAGCTTAATTAAGGTTTTAACTTGATATTTGTATTGGCCATGACTTGTTTATTATATATATTAATTTGGGACTATTTGAAGTTGTTTTAGAACCTTGGGATTTAAATTAGCATGATTTAATTAAAGTTCTACCTTATTGTTCTAACAACCTAATTGAGTTTTAGAATGGATATAGGTGATGACCTTGCCATGTCCTTTAACATATGTTAAATTGAGGTTAATTGGAATTGAATCAGA